ACTATTTTTTCTGTTGCCCTCCCCCCCGTTTGCTGTCGCGTTCAGACTGTCTCTACGGATATCCCTGTCTCTGTGCNTTGGGGTCCATTTTATTTTGGTATACCTTTTCTAGGTACGTTAGCCTGTGACCACGGAAATTGACCGAGTCAAGTGCTGGATTAGTACGGAGAGATTGAGACAGAAGGAGGTACTGGATAGAGAGACCGGGATGGTTTTTAATGTGAAGACAACATACCATCGTACTGAACAACGAGTGGCCCGCTCCCAGTAAAGTAGGGGCTTGGGTGAGGAATGACTGCAAAGATTAGTTGAGATGTGCTTTGCACCCCTCTGCAGTGATCGCGTGCGACTGATCCAGGCCATTTCATGGCATACGTCAGATGTGCACAGCGTACCACGGGCAGATGTGCATTGCTATACTGCACCGGTCTCCCTGGTGGTCTTGTGAGTAACTTCGCAGCCTGCTAAGGGCCAGGTCATGGGTTCGAGTCCCGGCAGAGTGAGTTTTTTTCTCACTAAATAAATCCTGGTCTAGGATAAAAGGGACGCGCTGCAAAGCTCGTTGTTAGTAAACCATAATCGACTTCGTAAGTCGCGAGGGAAGGGACCCTTCTCGCGATAAAAATACCTCAGGCAGGAACCGCAGGAGGGGGTCCAGCCCCCCCCTCCTATGTAACCCGGTTGGGTCGTCTAGCTAGTAGAAGTGGAGGATAGGGGCCAGAGGGGCAGACGACAGAGTCCAATGATGGGAGGAAAAAAAAAATACTGAGTCTAGCAATGCATCGCATGCGCTGCGTTGTTCCTCCGCACTCTGTTTCCTCCTCAATCAATCGTAGGAACCCTGCGCGGTTCCGCGGTTGGTTGTTTGTAGAATCGAGTAAACAGCGTGACTACTGCTGTTAGTTAGACGGTACCAAAACGGCGGGCGGGGCCGTTGAAACATTGATTGGCTTGCAATTTGATGTGACGTTAGACAGGAGGGGTGATATATGGTGTCAATTTGTGCTTGATCTTTGAAGGTTCGGCGTTTCCCACATTCTTCTTGCTGATGCTTGTGTGCCTCTGTTTGGACTAGAAAGGTGTGTGCTGAACACTGCCGAGTAGCAGAGAACACACACGTCTCTCTGAGTTATTTCCTTGTTTGTTTCAGGTATTCCTGCCGTCTCCAGCCTTCGTCATGTAGGTCTTCGAACTCTTCTCTAGTCTACAGTTAAGAGTACACTCCCTCGCATTTTGATCCTCCCTTCACCTTCCTCCACCACGCTCGGACTCCCTCGTTCATTGGTCTTCGACTGCACTCACTGCCGTCTACACACCAGGTCTGTCTTTGTTTGGTCTCTTACTTTTTGTTTAGCTGGGTGCAGGTTGCGTCACTGTACTACGGTTGTAGCATGCTTGCTTGTACTACAACCAACCCAAGCGGCAGAAACCCAAGGTGACAACAATGTTGAGTCTAAAAGTTACCACCGGCGTGGTATCAGTGTTTGACACCTTTTGACATTTTCATCAAATTTAATGAAAGCCGTAATCAACTTGGAACCAAGTTCCCCCCGCACTCGTCAAAGTTCATCAAAGTTGACGAGAGTTCGGCATCTAATAGTGTAGACTAAAAAGTAAAAATCCCCAATCAAAGTTGATCAAATCCGGTCGCATTGGATCATCAGCGTTGATCAACGTCCGCAACAACCAGGCTGTAACTTTGATGAAAGTTTCATGGGAGTTTCAAAATAACTTTCGCCCAGCTTTTATCGAAATTTTGCTATGAAATTGTCGTCAAATTTGGCTAAAGTATTCCCGTGACATGTCAAAATATATTGCTTTCGAAAATATACAACAGCACTACTGTGTGTCGTCCACCGTGAGAGTTCCACTTACACCCATGTCAATGACATCGTGCACACTCTGTGCATTCGCTCCGAATCATCGTGTCATTTCCGTTGCACGCACCAAGGCCATATGTGGCGGAAATCGGTGCCAGTCGAGTCTACGTGACCCGATGAAAGGTCACCTTGTTGTTTGAACGTCACCCACTCGCCGTTCGCGTTGCCATCATCAAAGCCGGTCGTATCGTCTGTCCGTCATTATTGTTCTTCCACGTGTCGATATCACATCAGGGTCCATCCTCATGAGAGAACTATGGTGCTCCCTCTCACTCGTATTTCCCTAGGGTGCTCGCCGCAGATCGGCGCGGGGTTCGCGTCCCCGTCCTCGGTTCTCGTCGACGGCCGAGTACCACGTGAGAACGAACAATGAAGCCTTTGCGTTATTGTTCGAAATCACGTTGTAGTCAGCCATCGACGAGAATCGAGGACGGGGACGCAAACCCCGCGCCGATCCGCCGCGAGCACCCTAGGGAAAAATGGGCGAGAGGGAGCAGCATTTTTGTGAAGAGAATGGAGCCTGATGCTACATGCGCGCTTGCTGATGATAATAACGGACAGACGATACGACCGGCATTGATGATCGCAACACGGATGGCGAGTGGGTGACGTTCGAACAACAAGGCGACCTTTCGTCGGGCCACGCAGACTCGACCGGCACCGATTGCCGCTTCCTACGACCTTGATGCGTGCAGTGGACGTGACGAAAAAATCACGCCGGGGTCAATAGGTTGACGACAGGGCGGGACCACGAACTAACTTGCCTCGCGGTCTCGGTTCCCCGACGGCCGTGCGTCGTCCCGGTCCGCCCACGCGTCTTGAGCGTCCTATCATGCCATGGGTGGTTGACAACAAGTGTGGAAAGTTACGCAATGCGTGAGCAACAGTTTCAGAAAACGGTATCTATTATGATTGTGGGGGTGTGGTGGTATTGAAGCATGACATACGACTGAAAAGGGGGGGGGGGGCGGTGAAGAGCGTGGGGGGGGGCGCGGGAGGAGTCTTAGGGGGGCGCGCGGAGGGGGACGCGGAGGGGGAAAGAGAGGAGCAGACAATCGGGGAGCGAAAATAGCAATTGGTGAAGTTGTTCAGGTTCTCGTGAGAGACCCGATTCACAACCTGGCAGACCCTGCGACTAGTGTGTTCTCTGATTCGAAGGAGCAATACTACAGCGCTTCATACGGGGCTGTAATCATCAGCGGGGGCGTGCCGGTACTTGCGTTGCTGTAGTTCCTCCCTTTGTGGGGGTTTTCTGACGACGGAGACGATTTTCCTTTGAAGCCTTGTTAGAAGCTGTGGATTTGTATGGGTGGTGTTCTTTGATTTCTTCTCGGCCGTACTCTTCGTCCTATACCTGAGTAAACATGCCGCGAAAATACGGTTCATCGTCTTCCGTATGTTGCGTACTACACGTTCAAAAAGTTGTTGCAATGTATCTCTTGTTTTCAAGGAAGGACAGGCTAGCGCACGGCCGTGTTGGCGAAACTCTGTGTGCTCTGCAGCTTGCGGAGTTTTCATCCCCCTGGATCATACTGTGGCGAGTTTTGTCAGACAACGATTGTTCCGGTGGTCTTCGTAACGAGGGTTCCAACGTTTGGCACAGTTTTGTCAAATTGTTCCATTTGCCAAGGTGGTGCTGCGGTAGCCGTGTTTGAAGATAAAACGGGAGTGTGCTAACTGCCGTGTTTGGCTTTGTTTCGCAGTTTTCCTTTGACACTAGTGTACGAATGTCACACTTGAGACTGTCCCGTCATTCTATGTTGGGTAGACACCGACGGCAAGTATTGTCAGATAGCTAGACCAGATTCTCAACAGAGGGTGCCGATTGCCTACGTCGCGCCATCGAGCCGATCTCCATTTAGAGGTTCCTTTTGACACATCGTTCATGTTTCCACACGTGTCTTCTTCGTGAAACGCACATGGAATTGGGGATCGGGGTTTGCGAGAGTTGCAACTTGCCGTACTACTTCCACGAACAAGTGTCTACGTTTTCTCTTCACACATCTTTGCTTGAACAAACGCTTTCCCATTGTTAGTCGACGAGGGGTATTCGTGCGGCCAAATGGGAGCTCTCATTGGGCGGCTCCTCCGCCGACTCCCGCGATATTCCCGAGTTGTGCTATAATGTACATGGTTTACGCACCTATTCCACGTCAGTCTGCCCCGTTCAGTCACACTCTCGTGCAACCTTCCAGCGGACGCGAGTATTGCGCAGACCCTAGCTAAACTGGCTGCTTTTGATCGCCTTGGATATGTCCATCACACAAACTCAGAACCGGAGGGCAAGGCACAGGGCTCCCGTTCGCGGGGGAGAAATTTGCGGCGAAAACACCACACAATGAAATAAATCACCTAGGTTGTCCTTCCCCATACTTTTTCGGGGTTTGGGCGCAGCTCTTTTGCCTCGAATTGCATCTTTTGTGCAGTATTTCCAAAATTGTATGCATAGTCTAGACTACTACATCATAGACACCTGCTTGGGTGAAACCTCGAAAGAAGTATCTCCCGCGAAGACGCTGGTATTCGAGAGTCGGAGAGACGCCACGTTCTGTTCACGTATCGCCAAAACAACATTGAGGCTCAAACACCCTGTCTGGAATTGTACTACAGTAGTAGCCCCGCCCAGTACATCTCTCTCCCGCTCTTCTTCTCTGTGCCTACATTCCCTTTGTATTGGGTCAGTGTAGGTAAAGTTGTTCATGCCACGTGCTCGAAGTACTTGGACGTCTCGTAAGCTGATTCCGCGATGTCTACCCGATGTCTGATCGATTTCAGTTCCACTCATCATTCGATGGTCCGCGTGGATTAACGTACGTACGCCATGATGCCAGGATGTTGTACATAGAAGTACGCACACAGCACGGCTATGAAATGCTCGATTCACTAGAGGTTTCATGAAATGTAGAGCTAGAAGTTAGAAGGCATCGCGGGTCGTTAGGCGCTTCACACCGCTGATGTGTGCACGAACGACGTGCGGTTTCCGATAAAAAGGCCAGTACCCTCTGGACCGCATGAGAAAGGGCCTCGTGGGAGGTTGGAGACTTCAACGCGGACTTGTCTAGCACCGCGTCAAAAATATTCGCCCACGAAGCTGCCTCAAGCATAGACGTTCTTTTCTATTGGAAACAGGAGCTTGTTATTGGTACGGTTGATAGAACCGAATGTTCTGTCGAATTCATCCTTTACTACCGTACAGACTCTCGTGTGAGCCGCCACTTGCATTTGTCCTTCATCATCCATCCCTTTTTACATCACTCTCTTGCGCATCCCTACAACGAGCGCGGAGAAAAAGGAAGACGGGTTCGAGATGGGGCAAGGGGCTACCATACCAGTACAAAACACGATAGTCGTGCAGCGTAGAACACTTCCCTTGTACAGTAGCGCTGTCGTGTGGAATATCAACACATAGTCTTGAGATTCCACCCTTGGGAACAAGTTCCCGAGTTACTGCCAACATGTCAACAGAGAAATCGACATGCCTCCGCCAGAGACTACAAGAAGACACAATACGAAAAAGAGCTGTTGTTTTGTCACAACAGGGATGGAACCGCATTGCTGGCGGCAACAAAATTGGCACGTCCTTTGTTGAGACATAACGGACAAACCGCTCGTGGATTTTCCAATCCCAAGCGAAGTAGACGACATCGCGAGAATGCCTGTTCAGGCATGCTCCAAATATATACATGTGTGAAACATTTTCCGATCCAGATGAATCCCTTACCTTCGTGGAACGCCAGAGGTAACACGGTAATAATAGTAGCAAAACACGGGAGTGGCGCATTCCACGCTCATCATCCAAACGAGCTTGTGACTTCTCCACGAGCGCGTTTCCACACGACACGGCTACACGGCTTCTCCTAACCGGGCCATGATAACATGGCCAATATCGGATACCCCGCTAATCCACAACTTTTTTAAATCTCGCCGAATGCCATGTATGACGCATTCATCAGGACCTCGACCGCGCAGCTCCACACCGAAAACACAAAACAAGAGACAAAGCCACTCCCTAGGGCTTTCAGGTTGAAAACCCCCGCCAAGTTTTCATGTCAAATCTCGCCCTTTTCTACAGCTCGCGAATACCAGTCGCAGAAGAACAAACAAAAAAACGGAGTCTCACGCCCCTCTCCTCCCTCCTCGCTTCGTCCCCAGTCCACCAAAAAAACGCTTATAACGCCCGTCATCGGGTTCTTGTCCACCCAACACCGTGCCCCTTCTTAGCATTATCAGCAGCCAGGCCCGATCGCTGCTGCGGCCACCCTCGCCGTGCGTGCGCACCTCCGCCGCCCCTCGCTCCCGAAACGGTTTCCGAACCTAGCCCAACCCCGACGTCGTGTGCCGGGGTACCCTGTTGCCAACCGCTCGCCCCCCCGACACCGCCGCCACCTGTCTCCATCGCCCCCTGCGGATGAGGTGCCCCCTTGTGGGCGCTGGTTGGGTCTGTGATGGTGGTAACGTCGCCGGCCGTGGGCTCGTCGTCGTCCCTCGCGGCTCGCCGGGACGACAGGCACGAGCAGGTCAAGAGGCTCGACAAGAAACGCCGGAACTTTCCGGGCTTTTTCCCGCCCACCCCGATGGCAGAAGCCTCCGCGGCGCTCCCCCTCAGGCTGGACGCCCCCCCTCCGCCCACTCCCACGCCCGCCGCGTCCGGAGACGCCACGGTCTCTGGACAGGGGAAGAGGGCTAGAAAGTGGTTGCCGTTAGCCAACTGTCTACCTGGCTTGAGGTTTGGGAATCTGTTGGTCGGATTGGTTTGCGAGGCGGCAGAGCGGAAGGAAAGGGTTTGAGTCAGCGCGTCAACATGTGTGGAAGCGTCGGGCACAACAACCTTGTCCCGACCGGGCTGGGTGTCAAACAACAGCAGATAAGTCCAGACACTTATCTCGCCTTGGCCCCAATCATGCAGTAGGACAACTTGCGCATACACATATCAAGGAATCGCGTGACACATGGCACAAGGCCATGCGACCTCTTCCTCATGCTTGGGATACTTGGATGCAAGATCCGATCCAGAGAGTATGTGTGTGGGGGGTATGCTACTGGGGTCCAAGTGCGGGCCACTTGAGAGAGAGCCCGAGCCTTTGTTCAATCTATGTTGTATATTCTATGTCTGCGAGAGATACTGTGAATACTGTGCTGTAGGAGCACGTGTGCGTTCATCAAGGTCATATATCATCTGCATCGGTCCTGTGGGTAAACATAGTCCCCAGACAGACGTCATACCGTGGGTGGGCACGGCAACATACCGTGGGTGGTCACGGGGAATACAAACACCCACACCTCGCTTCAACACTGATGGCACGCACATAAGCGCCTGATGATACCCCGTAAGCGTTCGATACGTTTGCGCAGCCAAGCTTGCCCTCGCCGTTACGTGCCCCCAATCCCGAACTGCCTACATAATGCCGATGAAGTGGTATTTAGTAAGTAACCAATATCATGACAAGGAGCAATGACCACCCCAGCCAAGGATTGAAGAATCGCCTCACACGCTTCGTACCTAGAGTCGGCGGAGAGGATGTGTATCGCTTGCTTGTCGTCGAAAGAAGGGGACCCGAAGCAAGCCATCCTTCGGAAGCAAAAGCTGCCAGGACAGCACGGAACCACGCGTAGAAACCACGGCACACGTAGAGACAGATAGGCGAGGTAGAAGCAAGGGACATCGGGAAGGCGACACACGGGGTGGGAGAAAGGCATTGGGAAGAGAGGAAGAGCCGATGAATGATACAATGTAGGTGACATGCTCACGACCACTCAATGTGGCTGCCTGACGGCGACGTTCCCATGCATCATGCTACCATGTAGGTCCACACCGAACGACTTGATTCAGGCAAGCAAATAGGGCGGCAAGGGCGGGAACAAGAACGGGAGAGAATTCATTAAGGGACCTCGAAACAAGTACCAAAACAAAAGGCAGCCAGCAGGTCGAAACGGAGATCGGTCACGGCGTGCAGCAGCGAACGGAGGCAAATACCCCTCTTGCCGACAGACGACCTTAATGGCAACCCGCGTGAGGCCGCAATCCAACATGCGAGATCCAGACAACAAACGAGTAGTGCCCGTGGGCGGATCGGCACATAACCTAGCGCGGATTCCAATACGCAATTTACATAAAATTGAGCAGATGTGTCGCGAGCGAGAATTACCACACGCCGAAGCCACACCAACAGACGTCCGGGTGGCAAAAAAAAAAAACGCACAACAAAAAGGGTACCCACCTTACACCATTGGAGGCTAGCTCATACACGTGGATGGGTCGGCAGAGAGCATTGGACAGGGCCACGATCTCCGGCCCGCCCCCCCACACACTGGACTGTCGCATCACCTTGAGGTCACAAAAACGATGTCACACAAGCACGCACGCGGGAACACATCGTGATGCGTCGTGAGCACCCCGGGAAACCGTTGTTGAACCAAACATTGAAATGGACGCGTGCGTGCTATGGCAGGTAGTGGTGCTGGCACGTCCATCAAACGCGCAAGTGATGAAAACACAACAATCACTCAATCGACACCAACAGCAGCTGCTCGACAAACTATGCTGAACAGCAGTAGTCCCACCGTTCCTCGAGCAATACCAGACCACGAGGGGGTTGCCGTCTTACCGCAGGCGCCTTTACAAGGGCGGACTCTTGGAGGCAACAACAACACACACGTCGGCGGCGACTGTCACCACGATGAACCGTTACACAGCTTTTGTCGGCATGGGGAGGCGCGCGGCTCCTCACCTCGCAGTAGTGCTCGGCGGTCATGTTGTACTGCGCGGCCACGACGCTGAGAAGCTCGTACACCGGAACGCTCTCCTCCTTCTCAAGGTAGAGAGTTTTCTTCAGGTTGTCCACCAGGTAGTCCACCGCAACCTGCGTGCGTTTTGGCAAGTTAACCGAGTGGTTTCGTCATATGGTCCGTCCGGGACTTCCAATCCACGTTGCCGCCCTGCACTTCGGTTCGTCCTAAACGACCTCGGAATTTTACCTGCGATCGCAGGTTTCAGACCCCGGATCGCAGAAAAATAAATGCGGGCGTTTCAAACGAAGCAGAGCACAAAATTAAAAAAAACTGCGATTTCTGCGATTTTGGCGGTCAAACCGCTCCCGGCGCCTTCTTTTTTTTTTCGGAGTCGTCTGTGAGGTTCCCCGAAGCTCCCGGGGCCTTCTATTGTCGGCCATGGACCCTAGCCTACTCTGGCGATCAGTTCTGGGGGTTATAGTGCAGCTACGGGGGTGATACAGGTGGCTTGGTGTGCTGTGCCCGATCCAACGTGATGCTCTCAAGAGAATCGCAGAACAGAAAAGGAGCAGAGGTGATTTTTTCGACCCTGCTCCCGACCTGCGATCGCAGGTAAAAAGCCTCCATATTCGCAGGTAAAACCTGTGATCGCAGGTTTCGCAAGTTTTTTTTGGCCTGTTTAGGTCGACCCTTAGGTGCACTCTTCTCGGGGTGATTGTTCCGAAATTCAAAAACACCGTAGAAAGCCCTGTCTACAGGCGCAGAAGTTCAAAGTTTGATCTTTTCTTTTTTTGTTCGTTGACTTTTATTTCAAAATAACCAGAAAAATTGATTGCAATCTGATGAAGGGTCTACTTTTCAGAGAACAAATATGAGACCGGATTTTTACAGCTCGTGGAATTTGCCAGGTGTTGACAAAAAAAAATCAAGAGACGGCGGAGTTATGGCCCATAAACCGATTCTGGAATGGCATTTGTTCGCAGTCTCCTGCGAGAACCAAATACACACGATTGTAAAATAGAGCGCGGCAAGCAATTCCTCTCGAAATTCCGCAGGTGCGGCTTGTTCCCGATCTTTCCAAAAAACGAAATTTCATGAGATATTCGGTCATGTGCGTGCCGCTGTGAGAGACGAACAGCTCTCGCACACACACACACACCAGAACATCACTACTCAACAAAGCAGCGCACAAGTGGCCACACGGTCACACACAAGCCCCACACATCCCGCGACGCAAGAAACGAAGAACAAAGATGGCGCCGAACGCGGATGGAACCATCACGCCATGTTCTCAGGCAACAGCACCACCAGCACAACTCGTCGGTTCTCGCCATAAGTTCGATTTTCTCCCATGGACGTTGTCGAGAATGACAACGCCCGTGAAGAATGCAATAGGATACATATGTGGTGTTTGATATGCATATCATATGCATCCGAGTATACATGAAGCAGTTACAATTGGTGCAGAGCTTGAAAGCTCTGGGAGTTTCCGTGGTATGAATAGGGGGTTCCGTGGATCATTTTGGTCCCCCAAAAAAAATCTCAAAATTACAAAAAAAATCTGAACTTATCGGCGTAGCTCGACGAGGCGATCACGAACATCGTTGTTTCATGTTCCAACTCTTTTTTTACGAAAGTTATCGCACAAAACAAGAAAGGACAAAATGTCCTGGACGGACTATATTACTTTCAAGAAAGAGTACCGACACACACTTTGCTGTCCCGGTATGCAAGGCAAACCCAACAAAAAAAAGTCGCTTGCGCACCTTCCTGAGTGCGGCGGACTTGGGCATCAGCTCGTTCAAGTCTAAGCTGGGGTGCGTGCCGTTGCAGGCGTGGTCGAGGCACGCGGAGATCGCGTGGAAGAGACAGTTGCCATCCCCGGGTACCTGTCGTCGACGAAAAGAAGGAAGGCAAACAATAGAAACAGAACAGTGAAATAAGTCAAGGTTTGGTTGGCGGAGGATTGCTTTGTGTCTTCGGTGTGAGCTTCCTGGACGTCGGTCTGTTCTCAAGCAGCGTGTGTTACTATTGTGTAATATAAAAGTCATGAGACATGACATATGGTAAGGGGGGCACAACCTTGCAGCATCGTCGCCACAATGGGCAAAACCCAGGCCCTGCTTTCCAACACACAGCGACTGGCTGTACGATGCCGAGGCACTCCCTGAGTTAGGCACCCTCCATTCCGGCGTGAAGCTACCCACACTGATATCGTACGGGGGCCGATGGCTTCTGTGATGGCATGAAGTATTGTCGATTCCTCAGACACCCAAGTCTTTCTCCCTCCCGAGCACCCACCTGTCGGACCGCCATATTGGTGGAAATCCCCTGCACGGCGAAGCTGTCCGTCAAGAACCCGTCACGCTTGATCTTGGCTGAGTGTCGCCATATTGACGACAGCCCAGCGAAGGAGCTCGCTGCAACAAAGCACACATAAGCGCGAGTGAGGGGGGAACGGGGGCAAACCGATGCTGTCAAGTCTTGGACTGCCGTGCGTGTGGCGGGGGGCACGGCTTAGAAGCTGACCAACAGACCAATTCGGGAAATTGTTGTGCACACAATCTGCTGTGCGCGCAGCTCCACAAACACCATTAAGAGGGTGGGGATCAGGTCAGTCGAAGCCAAGGGTGGTTCGCAAGACTACACCCATCAGTCTTTGTGGGGGTTCGTCACGAGGAGATCGATTCCTCCCGCAAGGGTAACGCTCTGGGATGCCCTGATGCCCACTTTTTCGACATCTGTTGGAGACTCCAAGCACTGCCGTATATATGCCTATTAAATACCTCGAGAAAGCACCGGTAGTCCCCCCCACCAGGCGAATACCTCCCTGTTCCGTGGATTCCGCCATGAAAGAAAAACGGCCTCTGTTTTGGACGCAATCTACAGCATGTAGCTGCATGACTATCCGATGACGACGTACATGCTTGAATCAGTGATTCTTGGAAATCAATAGCAGGCCCCTAAGACATTTGGTAGCAGCGATCTTGCTGCCTTGCTGTAGGGTGCAGCACACCTAACGATGGCAATCTTGCTGCGCTGTGAGTATACGATCGGACATCTTGATGGGGGAGGCGAAAGCTGGCAAATGTTGAACGTTGGCTGCTGATGCTGCCTGGGGCGCTCTCAGCTCAGCCTTCCACGTTGAGAATGGACAGTGATGCTTACGCTTGCAACAAATGTCAACATTGAATAACACCAACACTGGCCGTTTGTCAAATCACATGATATGCTATCATTCGTGGCACATACGACCGTATGTTCGGCCTTCCACACGGCCTACAGCAATAGGAACGACCCACCGCCGGGTGAAGTCTCGTGGGGGCGCGTGTTGCCCTCGTTGTAGAAAAATAGCGCCCCTCTCATGCAGGGGTTGGATCGTCTCACGTGTTTATGCTGCCTACACATGCATTTTACCAGCACAACGTGGCAGGAGGTCGACGCCACGAACAACCATGTGTCATAGACCCACAATCCGAACCTGGACCTCATGTCTCTCAACGGGTCTCTCAAACCCTTAACGCTAACGCTTCGACCCATGGGCATGGCGTGAGGTCCACGATGTCAAATGTGTCAACGACTTTTCCTCTCTCTCGCTGCATTTCACGGCCAACGCACGTTACACCCACCTGGCAAGAGTAAAGCCGACACGAGGGCTGCGGTGATCTTCATCGCGGTCACAAGCCAGGGCAACAACAACGCAGAACAGGCGAAGCTGTTGTGTTACTGCCCATTAGCGCCGGCTCCGGCGGTACAAGGGGATACGCAGAGTGGCTGCAAAACAAAGCCAGGTATGGTACGATGCACGGTAGCCCGCAACCCCACGGGGCCGGGTCGAAACTGTCCTGTGTCCTGCTATGTGTTGTGCTGCTCTTTCTCGTTCCTCTCGCCTCTCGCTAGCCCCAGCCTGTGTAGCCCACCCCCTCTCCAGCACCCAATACTGTGGAGCAACGTCACCCTGGTGCAGCGGTGGCCGGTCAGCCGAAAATAGCCTGGGAAACCCTGGATTTATCGCAGGTATGGCGTGGCTCCAAGTCCGACCTTACGTGGCTCCCAGGGCGGCTTGCGTCACAGCAGTGATGCTGGCTCTCCAGGCGATGCTTGCCTGTGGCTTTGGCCCCTCCACCTGGATGGTTCCGAGGAAATGTGACACGGAGTCTCTGCGTCGCGGTGGGGGCTGGCCGGAGTGGGGATCTCGTGAGCTTGCCCATCAAGGTCGTCCTTCCGCAGATCATATTGCGGATGTCGCTGGTGAGACGTGCTTCGCGCGCGGCTTTTTTTTCTCTGCTGTTTCTGGCATTTCAAAATGATTGTCCTAGAGAGTTGGGTTGAGTGAGCGGTGACAGAGCTGCAGCTTTCCTGTGCTGAAAGGCTGGTAACCAGCACGGCGTGGGTAACTCGCTCCGTAGTTGCAGCGTCGACTTGTGTCTCTTCATTCGCGCTTGAAAATAGACATGGCTCTGCTCATGATGTGGGTCGATTCCACCACATCGGTCTCAGCGACAGACTGACATCATGATCATTGAGACCACTGCTGGGTAATATCGCACCCTCCAGCAAGGCATGTAAGCTCGATGGCACATGGCTTAGCTGTGGAGTCACGGGTAGGGGTAGGGGAGGGAGCGGGGGGAGATCGATAGGCACCATTTCACACAGCAGCGGGATCGGGTGTCGAAGGACAACGTGCACGAGTGGAATTTGTTCTCACAGCGTCCCGGCACTCAAAATCAAGTACGCGCCATCCTTCGTGACTCAAGCTGAGCGACGCTCTTTGATCCTCATGTGTGCTATCCCCACCACATGCCCAACTGATTCAGGCTCAAAAGATGTTGCTGTTGGTCGCAATCGGTGAGCGAACAGCTGCGCAGGCCTGCCGTTGGATCCCCGTAGAATCAAACTTGAAAAGCAAACTACAACTTCCAAAAAGCCAGGCGACGTAAGCTTGTGTCACCATGCGCACTGCTGTGGGCGGATATGTTCTTCGAAGTCACGATTTCTGGTTGTCCCGACCGCCGCTTTGAAAAGGGGTATGGTACATAGCTGTGTTCGGATCTTGCTGCGTATGCCTCTGAACAGCACATCTGTGCCATTCGTTCAACGCGAGAGGTTGCGAAAAACTCCCATGCCGATTTTTTTCTGCAAGTGCTGTTCGACCTCTAAACAACATCACATTGTTGTTGCTGTCCTCCCCTTAAGTTTCCAAAACGTATCGCATCAACCATTTATTTCTTCTTCTGAAGAGTATTTTTAGTTTAGTATGGCTTCCTATACTGTACTATACTATCACTCTAGTATAGCTTCTCATACTCTACTAAACATACTGTTGCGTTTAGTATGGCTGCCCATACTCTACTCAGGCCATAGTACAGCCCGCCATACTCAACTCAGAGTACGTACTACTCAACGTCAGATACGTACTACCGTCCACCAAAGGGTGTGTTGGTGACGTCACTATTCAGCTGAAAGTAGACAGTCTCGCCGCACAGAATGGTGATGGGCTCCAGGCTCCGATACTCGCGCGCTCGCGTACTCAGATACTGGGTTACTGAGGTAATGGCCCGCAGGGGAGATAGTGGCAGCTGAGCATGAGTGACGCGAGCGGTGGTTCGGCCGCATCTGCTCCCGATGCGGGTGGTTCTCCCGGTACGAGTACCCTCGCACCGGGTTCTTCAACACAAGACGCGCAACAAGACAACGAGGTGGTCGTCGTGNACTCGGGCATTGAGGTAGTGGCCCGCAGCAGGGGAGATAGTGGCAGCTGAGCATGAGTGACCCGAGCGGTGGTTCGGCCGCATCTGCTCCCGATGCGGGTGGTTCTCCCGACACGAGTACCCTCCCACCAGGTCCTTCAAATAAAGACGCGCAACAAGACAACGAGGTGGTCGTCGTGCCGGGCTCAACGAGTGGAGGAGCGCCACAGCAGTCAGTGAACGTCAAGCGTCCCGCACCGGTCT